AGGAGATTGTCTTGACCATGTCTACATGCCTAAATGCACTGAGTTGCCGCCATGTGATTGGCTGCTTAGAAATTAAGTGTACCTAAGGTGGACAGGTGTACCTAATAAAGTGGCCGGTGAATGTATATGGTACAAATATGCAGTATTTTTGGTTTGGTGTTATCAGTGTGATGCAGAGTCTGTGACGTATTTTAGAGTTTTTTCAACAGTGCAGCGGTCTGATGGCGGTTGGGAAGAAGCTGTTACAGAATCTGCAACCTATAGAAAATAACAGTTCTATAAAGAAACGGAAAAAGCAAACCAATAAAGTTACTAATGAGGTTTTGGTTAACAGTTTAAATAAGACTTGAACTCAGCTTTATTTATTCCTTGGGATTACTCCTTCAGGGGAATTCTGGTTCCAGTAGCTTATATAGAGCAAAGATTAAAATACAACAGACAATATAAAGAGTATATATAGTACAAAAAATCATTTAAAAAAGTTCTAATGTCCTGGAATATGTTTCCTTTAGATATAAAAATATCTGAACAGTAGACAGCTAAGGAAAGACCACACAGTTGACTTGGATTATTGGAGTCGTAGTGTAGAAAACAAATATTAGACACCATCTCAGTCACGTTGGAGGTAGGTGTTCTTAGATAAATGTTCTTACAGCAGAGCTGTGTCACAATTTTACCAGAACTGGTGCCTCAGATACATGTTTATCCATCCATCTCCTGCTTATTCTGCCAGGGTCACGGTGGGGGCGGGGTCTATCTGCGGCATGATGTCCACCTTGGACAGGTCGCCAGTCTGTCACAGGGCAACACAGAAGCATGCACACAATGTAGAGAAGCCAATTCACCTGATAGACATGATTTTTGGACTGTGGGAGGAAGCAAGAGTACCCGGAGAGAACCCATGCATGCTCAGGGAGGACATGATTAGTCCCCGCGGCTCCTGGGGGCTCCAGGATTGCAGCGGCTGCTGGATTTCTTCTGGACCGTCTCTCCTCTTCCCTTGGTGGGGGGGGGGGCAGATTTCCTGGGTTAGTCCCTCCTGGACGCCTTTGCTCTGGGGATCCCTTTGGTCCTCCGGTGGCGCCTGCCTTGGTGCTCTGGGGGGGCGCGTCTTTGGCTCTTCACAACCACTATTGAGCATTTTTCCTTTGGATAAACTTTACATGCACCAGCGCACTTTCACAAACAACTACAGGTGCTTGTTTCCAGGTGCTCAGAGATTCACTTCCATACAGAAAGCCCATATTCTTATCTACAAGTAACACAGAGTACATGTCAGGTAAAATAATAATACCCATACTTCAGCGATAGTATCAAGGTGTTACTTAATTTTATCTCTAATACTATATCCATTGGTTGTGCTTTTTACATCTCTTTGCAGGTGATGAAGCAGACAGAAGACATTTATCTCCTCTTTCTTTCATCTTTTCTCCTGTTTTCCCTTTCCATATATATATGTCCATACAATCTGAAATACTTCCTACATGATTAATAATAAAGATATTTATATGCATAAATCAAGCGGAACACCATGGCGATAGCCGTACTGCTCCACTTGTGAAAGTAAAATCTGTTGGGCTTTTTTTGGCATCAAGACATTTATTCTTATTGCCACATTGCCAGACAGGACACTGTTAAAAAAAGGCATAATTATCTAACAGATAGATGGATGTAATTGAACTTTATGTACTTTACTTGTGGTAGTGCCATAGGGGTTGGAATCTTGAGGTTCTGATTTCCCTTAGCAGAGACCCTTAACCCCTCACTGCTCCCTGGGTGCTACACAATGGCAGCCCACTGCTCTCCAAGGGGAGGGGTTAAATGCAGAGAGTTAAATTCGTTGCTCTGTACCTGTGACAGAGGAATGAGAATAAAAAGTTTGAGGAAAGAAAAATTATCAAAAAGACAAAAGCTTTTGCTTTGGAAAAACTTCATACACAACCATTTAATTTTAATGTTTCCTCCCAGATTTAGTAGAAGAAGGTAGAAGGTGACCTGTGGAGGTTCTGCAGGTGGAGACAGAAGCAACCCTCACCGCGCTGCTGGGGTTTAATCACGACTCTGGAATCAACAGATGAGATATGCTGAGATTTCACCCTGCGATACTACGCATTACCAGCAGAGGGCGCCATGATGCAGCCTCTCAATCATCAAAGCTTTTCTAAAACTTCAGGATGGCTCACTCAGTTCAAGCAATAATAAAATGCAAAAATATCGTCTTTCTTTCTTTCTTTCTTTCTTTCTTTCTTTCTTTCTTTTTTTCTTTTTTTCTTTCTTTCTTTTTTTCTTTTTTTCTTTCTTTCTTTCTTTCTTTCTTTCTTCAGAATCAACAAAATAACACAAATAAATAGTAAAAAAAAATAGAAAAAATTGACAAATAACCTTTTCCACGTATTTTTTAGTAATATGCTGTTATTTTGTATGCATAATAAAACATTCCCCTTTTATATATATTTTTAAATCCACGCTGTGTTGGTTCTGGGTGAAATTTAACAGAGGGGCTGGTGTTTTTTTTGCCACAAAGCCCAGGTTGAACCCTTTTGATCTAAAAAACCGTGTTCATTTCTCAGTACAGGTGAAGCTAAAACTGTCAAATAAATTGCCAAACCAAAATATTAAATTCTCCAAATCAGTAAAGGTCTAAATCAATTAGAAATGGAATTAGTTACAGTGCAAAAACAGAGCTAAAAAAGTATTTTTTTTTTAAAGAATTGCATCTGCTAATATCATTAATTTTATTGTATGTTTTTGGGGCCATAAAAGGGGCCAGGACTAGTTCTACAGGGGCACAGGCCCCTGTTGGCCCCCGTCTAGAACGCCTCTGAATCCACCTACTAATTTGTGCATTTATTTATTCTTGGTTTGCTGTTGTTAATAAATGTGTGTTTCTTTCTTATGTTTAATTTGCTTTCTGTGCAACTGTTCTGGTGTATTTTTAAATTAGTTTCTATGTGAATTTAATTTGAGAAAAAATTGAGAATTTTGAATTCTTTCTCAACTTAAACTGAAATAAAAATAAAAAAAAGTCAGTTAACTTTTTACATTTTTTTCAGTGGCCCTAATCCTCTTCCATACTAATCAGTTGAATACTGATAAACTAGAAAATGATGCCAGTGAGATTGTAAATGTGGGTCAAATGTTAGATGTTACCTAAAATGAAAAAAACAAACAAACAAAAAAAAAACAACTTGATGCTGCAGCAAAACTAGTTATAAATAGTTTGCAAAATGTATGCATACAAATATAAAACTGGTTGAAGACACAAATCCTCCCCACCTGCCAATTGTAAAGATAAAAGCTATAAAAGGGCCGGACTTTTATTTTGATAAAATATTTGTTCATAATTTAATACTAAATATGAGAATTGTTCTCAGTTTTAATCAATTTTGATGAGAGTTTCTGGTTCTACTAATAGTCGTCAGAGTGAGACATCTGTCTCTCAGACCCTCTCTGCTGGAAATCATTCCACTACGTCAGGTCGTCCGGTCCGCTCGGTAAAGATGTCTGCGACGGGTTCAGGCGGACCAGGACCCGGACCAGGACCCGCCACGGGTTCAGGGTCCGGGGCCTCAAACCCCCGAAAGTTTAGCGAGAAGATCGCCCTCCACACCCAGCGACAAGCCGAGGAGACGGCCGCCTTCCAGGAGGTCATGATGGACATCACCTCGACCAGGGTGAGTGTGAGGCGGAGGAAGGAGGAGCGGAGCTCCCCGGAGGAAGGGAGGCCTGCCCCGGCTCTCCGGAGGTCTCCCGGTTAACCTGCTTTTTCTGGACCGAGGAAAGTTTTCTGTTCCGGTTCTGGTGACATTCCGGGAGAAAAAGACATTTTGATGGATTCCGCTCTGAGTTTCGGTGTCTTTTAGAATCGGCGGCGCTTCGTTTTTCTTCGTTTCCGTCGCTACCGCAGCTAGCTGCCGTTAGCATGCTAACTGTTTACTGCCGCTGAGCAGGAGCTCCGGCTGCTGGAGCCGGGGAGCCTCTGCGGGTAAACAGCAGGGAGGCTGAGGGGGCCGGGGAGCCTCCGCTGTCTCCTGGGTTAAACTAAGAGTTTGTTTCTGGATAAAATGACTGTGGAGGGTCTCTGTTCATGAGGGTCTCT